TACCAAAGACGGAGACAAAAACCCTACCATCTCTTCTCCAAAAACGTTGTTCCCAGCGATGACTCGTTGCAATCGGTGGAGCTTCAGACAGAAAGTATTCAACCAAGGTGTTCCGCCACCGAACCGTTCCCTCCTCACGACTGCCCGAGGGATGATCAACTCTCCATCAACCAAAGCAGGTGCAACATAACGGAGGTGATTGACTTCCCCCACTCCAAATAGTTGAGCCCAATTCGCTGGCTCCGGCGCGGCCATGCCGCCGAACGAGATCCACCAACTAGGTTAGAAGGAGAGAGAAAGAAGAGAGAGGTCAGGGTGATTTTTTTTTTAAAATTCATTGTTTGCTTCAAGTATTTAGAGGAAATAAATCCGTGGGACCCATGGATTTTGAGGGGCCAAATCCATGGGGAACCACAGACTTGAGAATCCCACCTCTTTAGGTGAGAATTGATCATGGACTTTGAAGTCCATCATTTTTTACCAACCTACCCCTCATATTTTCTTTCTCTTCATATATCATTGAGGGCAATTATTAGTGGTTGTTTGCTTGATGGATTTGGATCCATGATGGACTTTTTCCAAAATCCATTGTTTGCTTCAAGTATTTAGAGGTAACAAATCTATAGGACCCATGAACTTTGAGGGTCCAAATCCGTTTTCTTCGTGGATTTGAAAAATTAAAGTTTTGGTATAACTTGGTTTTTGATAAATCATGGATATATGAGGGTTTTGGGTTCATTATGGTTTTTAAAATACCATTGTTTGTTTCATGGATTTCATTACGGAGTTTATTAATTAATTTTGTATGTATGAAGTGAACTTTACCATTATTGCCCTTAATAATATAAGAAGAGAAAGAAAATATAAGGGGTAGGTTGGTAAAAATTGATGGACTTCAAAGTCCATGATCAATTCCCACCTAAAGAGGTGAGATTTTCAAGTCCGTAGGGCCCACGAATTTGGACCCTCAATGGTTTTTGGGGCAAACAATGGATTTTGGACAAAGTCCATCATGAACCCAAATCCATAACCAAATCCATCAAGCAAACAAGTGTGGGAATTGATCATGGACTTTGAAGTTCATTTTTTACCAATATACCCCTCATTTTTTTTCTTCTTCTTATATCATTGAGGGCAATAAAGATAAATTACACTTGATGCATACAAATTTAATTAACAAAATTCATCATGAAATCCACCAAACAAACAATGGTCTTTATCAAATCCATAATGAACTAAAAAACCTCATATATCCATGGTTTTTCAAAACCCAAGTTATACCAAAACCTTCATTTTTCAAATCGACGAAGCAAACGAGGTAAAATTCACTTCATATATACAAATTTAATTAACAAAATCCATAATGAAATTCATGAAACAAACAATGGTCTTTTTCAAATAACTAAAATAATTACGATTGTTGTCATTAGATAACGAAAATTATTATTGTTATTAGATAACGAAAAAATTACAGAATTTCAAATTTCAAATTTTATTTATTTTGGGTTCTCTGATGTGGCAAGTGACATGGCGCTTGACTAATGGACAATGGAGTTGATTGTCTAATTTGACGGTCAAAACTCGCTCGGGCCAAACAAAGAAGTATGGTGCATAGTTCGGGTCAGTAGAGCAATTTCATAAACCACGGGCCAAAGTAAAAAGTATGAGTATAGCTTAGGCAAAAATAAAGTATTAACTCTTTATTAAAATCCAAATTATACAAAACTTTCATTTTTCAAATTCACGACGTGAACGATCCCTAAATTCATGGGGACAATCCTCAATAAGTGACCCTAACAATCTCCTTAACACCCCTCTGGTTTACCATGACAATCACAAAAGTAAGTCTTCAAACTTCAGAGAAACAGTCGACCACTCAGACCAAATACCAATCTTGAATCTTATCTGAGTGTTTTCTTAAATGAATCGCTATTTGCCGCCCGATAAATCGCTATTTGCCGCCCAAAATTTTAAAACAAAAGACACTTTTGCCCTTACCTTAGAAAACCCTCCCACCAAAGAACTTCCGACCACTTCTCCCGCCGGCGAACACAAACTTCCCCACCGCCGATCACAAAACCCACTTCTCCAATCCCCCATGACCTCAACCCAAATCCCGTAGATCATAAACCAAAACCCTCCTTTTTATTTGTTCCCCACGTCGCTTCTTCCATCCCGCCATCACCCAACCCGGAGGCCGCAACCGCAATCAAGTCATCACGCCGGCGATCAGAAGGTGGACTCAGTCAAAAGCCGGCGAACAGACGGCGAGACATGTTCTGAAGAAGGAGAACGCACAGTGAGGCACGGTCCGACGCCGGCCTGCGGACGGGGTCCGACGATAAAGTTAGGACGGGGTACGACGTTCAGACGATCGGACGGGGTGCGACGCCGATGTTCGAGATAAAATCGTCTCTACCTTCACTAACAACATTTATTTGCATCATCGACATACGCATGATAGACTCAAGAAATACCTTGTTACGATCCACAGAGCCCCCAAAAATCCCGATGAAAATTTTGGCACTATTCATTTTTTTTTTATAGTAAGTGTAGAGATTTAATTCCTTCCCAACTACTCACTCTCATTAGTCATTATAATGATGGAAATAATTAAATGAGATAACATGAAAATAGTTTTAATTAACACGTCCAATTCCATTTCCCTAATTGACAACAGTAAAAACTGTAATCCTGTCAAATATTAATTTAACAAAATCATATATAGTTAATCACTACTTTTACCTAATTTACTGATTTTATCACTACCAACAGCTTTCCTAATTAAATTATAATATTATTATTGATAGAATAATAATGCCAATAATCCCTCATAATCCAACTTGCGGTAGAATTTTAAGCAAATTATTAATTATTTATTAATATTTGAGTGATTACTAATTATTTCCTTTTTGCAAAATTATTGATTATTTCCTTAATTAAAACCAAAAATCCATTTCCTAATTAACAACCGAGAATTCATTCCCTAACTAAATCCTTAATTGTATTTCCCTAATTAACCAATATCTAATTGTATTTTTCGAATTAAGAGCCGAACAAAACTTCCTAAAAAAAGGATAATGATTATTTCCATAATTAACAATTGAAAATAATTTAGTTTACCTTTAAATCTTTCTAAAATGGTGCGTGATTTCCGCAATATTAAGGGGTGATTAATCCTCTAATTAATTCTCTATGGAATTTGTATCTATTTCCATCTTTAAAATTAATATATGTCCGATTAATACTCTAACTAATTTCCCAATATTGTTTCTGAATTTTCGATGATGAAGAATAGAGGATTGGGATTTAATCTCTTTGTGCATTAATTAATTCTTATTGGCTCCAATTCCATCGCCGGCAGAATCGCCAACGGGGAGCAAGGTGATCCGCCCGCCGAGATCGGACGGGGCCCGCCCGCCGGCGACGGACGGGGCCCGCCCGCCGGCGACGGACGGGGCCCGCCCGCCGTCGTTGATGGCTGTGATGGTTTGGTGCTGGCCGTGGTGGTGGCGACGCTGGCGGTTTGGCGGCAGTGGTGGAGTGGCGCCGGCGGCAGCAAAAATGGCGGGGTCGGCGGTGGTCTATTGTCGGCGACAGTGGTGGTCGCTAGTGTTGTGATGAAATGAGGGTTTATGTTATAAAAAGTAGACAAAGGATAAAAATGTCATTTTAGTTTAATTTACGGACGACAAATAATAAAAACTTCTTAATTGACCCATCGCTGATTTATACAAGATGAATAGAAAGTCTTCTCCTTGTTGAGTGAAATTGTAAAATCCCTTCGTCACAAGGAAGAAAAAGATGTTTATAAGAAAAGGAAGTGGCAATTATTTTATGGGCTCTTTTTCCCGTACAAATTCTACAATCTACAGCAACACCAGCAGCGGATACTATTGATTTTTGCGACATTTTCTTCTCCCCGCAAATATTTTATTCTGCCTGGCCTCTGCCCGTCCCTTTCCACTCTCTCTATCCTCGCCCCATCCCTTTCCTCCTGTAGTAAAAATCGGGTCTTCCTTTCCACATTTTTTCACTTCTTTCCCAGTATGGGCCTTCCTCCTCCTTCCATTTCTCTATGAGCTAATACACACAGAGAGGAAGGCGCACCCGCAGCTACTTTCGCTACCAGAGCGGCCAACAGTGTCGCTGATGAGAGAAGAATTTGGGTACTAGGGTATGAACTTCCTCAACGTCGTGTACTTGGAGTTCCCCTTCCAAGTTCCACCATTTTTGATCGGTGAGTTTGGTTTATATGAACAAAAAATGAAGGAAAGAAGTCTTCTTCGTACAATTGTAAATCAAAGTTCTCGCCTTTGGTCAATGTGTTGATTTGGGTTGGGGTTTTTCCTTCGCGGGTTCTTGTTGTTCTGTCAATTTTTTTTAGCTTGCCTGGAGTGATTGATACTCAGCGTTGGGGGGTATTTTGACCATGTTTGGTCGGACCTGGAGTTATTTACACATTTCGAATTCTCCCCTTTACGCCCTTTTGGCTTTGTTTTTTCCCTCATTCCAGAAGGATGATTCTGTTTGTTTCGTATTTCCGCTTCTTGGTTTCCTTAGCTCGTTCAGATACTGTGTTTTCAGCCTCTAGTTCAATTTTTTAGCCTGGATAGGATCGACACGTTAATAATTTCGTTTTTATTCTTCTACTACGTTGTATACATGAAGGGATCTTGTTGGCAAATTAAGTCAAGCTTGTAGTGCTTAGAGTTTGCCGGGCAAAAATAGTCTTGGTCTTCTTCATTTTCTGCGAAGTTGGGTTTACAGTGACTCGCTTAAGGGTGTTTAGCATTGAGCATCCGGAAGATTTGGCTCCTCCAACCTAACGAGCTGGTTGCCTTTCTTATCGTCTTTTCTTTTCATTGTTTTTGTTTTGACTTGTGATTCTAGTCGTGCATACGGGAAGTCTATTGTGATTTGGAGTCTTCAGAATGCTTTAGGCGGTTGTTTGGGTTTACCATATGGCGATGATTTGGTGTGTGCAGGAGAGCTGAAAGATGGACAGGAACAGGTTGGATTTAAGATTGCATGATTCCGGATCAACGCAGTCAGACGAATCTGCTTTGGATATGGAAAGAAACTGTTGCAATCATTCTAGTCTTCCTTGGTCAAGTCCATCCTCATTGCAGCCCATTGCATCAGGCGGTCAGCACTCAGAAAATAATGCTGCCTACTTCTCTTGGCCTACCCTTAGTAGATTGAATGACACGGCCGAGGATAGAGCCAACTATTTTGGTAACCTTCAGAAGGGGGTGTTGCCAGAAACTCTTGGCAGGTTACCTTCAGGGCAGCGAGCCACCACTTTACTTGAATTGATGACTATCAGGGCATTTCACAGCAAAATCTTGCGTCGGTTTAGCCTTGGCACGGCGATTGGGTTTAGGATCCAAAGGGGTGTTTTAACTGACATTCCTGCTATTCTTGTCTTTGTTGCCCGCAAAGTACATAGACAATGGCTAAGTCATGTCCAGTGTCTACCTTCTGCCCTTGAGGTTAGATATGGGTCCTTTACATGTACATTGTGACCTCTGCGACACAGGAAGATAGTTTCTGTCTTCATGCTTTTCTCTATTATCCGTATTAATTATGGCTTCTTCGAAATCGTTTTGACATAACTACAGGTCTTTTGGTGGATGAATCTACACCTTAATTTGCAATATGTTGCTCTGCTGGCATATCCATAAACTAAGTTTCTTTTGTTCTGTACGAGTCAGGGACCAGGAGGTGTTTGGTGTGATGTGGATGTGGTCGAATTCTCATACTTTGGTGCTCCTGCCCCTACGCCTAAGGAACAACTGTATACTGAGCTTGTTGATGGGTTAAGGGGAGGTGATCCATCAATTGGTTCTGGATCCCAGGTATATTTACTTGAGTCTTCCAATTCCGAATCTTTGGATATTAAAGGGTTAACGTTAATGAATTGGAATTTTCCGTGTCTTTGTTTCCTTTACTTAGAGTTCAGCTACTGCCAATAAGGTTAACACCTTCCAATTGGCTTTACTGATTGAGGTGCTATTTATTAGTTTATTTGGAACTTCCAGCAATCATGCATGCAGTGTCTTGGTTTCTTTTGTTGATGCCTTGTCTTTGAATCACTAAGAAGTCTAGGCAACTTGTCTTTTTTCTGTCTGTATTTCTTCTCTTTTTGTATTCCCCACTTGTGTGTTCGAGAGTTTACTTGTCCGGGAGAGTTTACTTGTCCTTTGGCTGGATAGTAAGCTGAAAGTAGTAACAAAAACGAAAAAAGATCTGGAGAGAAGGGTGTTTTATTTGTAGCAGTGACTGTGCCCGAAGCAGATCTTATATTTGGGACTTCTGACTTGTCCTGGGAATTCTGCAATTGTTTATCATGTGTACAAGTCCTACCAACGGTTGAGCTGTGTTTCATTCAAACCTCTGAGTGCAAAGCTGGATGATTGGGCATGCAAACTGTCTTCAACTTAACAACTGGATTGTTATTTGTTTAGGCTCGTGATTCAGTGAGTGCTGATGAATGTGATGAAGTTCTCCTTAAGAACCAGTTCTTGGATATTTATTCCTAATGTGTGAAGGAATTTCTTGGTCTACTTTTGTACGGGGTGTATGGATTTTGGGGTTGACTGGGAGTTTGGTTTCATAGTCCATGTAACAAGTTGGACTGTTGCTGGTTTTTTCTTCTTCGAGGTGCATTATATATGTGAATTCCAATGAAGGCAGAAAATTGCAAGAAAAAAGGAAAGATAAAGAGAAAAAGGAATGGGATTATCTTGTGCAGTGCTTATGAGGAAAGAAGCTTTTATGGCAAGCTCTCTTAATATTTTAATATGTTAGGAGTTGCCTTGTCTTTTGTTTCTTATCTTTTTTTCTTTTCAATCAGAAGTGAAGGTTGGATTTGTCATCTAAGCATTTGCAGAATAGAGTGGAGGGATTAAGGTATTGAAACGTTCCATGAGTGAGCAGGTGCTCGGATAACTGATCACCTTGTTCTAATGTCAGGGGAACTTTGCTGCTTTTAGAACTATCTTACTTCCTTTGAAGTCTATCATGGTTTTAGTTGGTGCAGTTGTACTTGAGTTGAGAGCATGAGTGGGTGTTTTGTTGGAAAGTGGGGCAAAGGTGGTTTTGTTGATTCATCTGTTCTTTGTGGATTTGTGTAGATGGAGATTAAGACATTGCTTGTGTTGGAGGGACACTGTTTTCATTTTCTCAAAGAAGGCTAGTATTGGGTGCCTGGATGGCGTCAATTAGGTCTTCCATACATTATTTCTTCCACTCATAAAGGATTTTTTGAGTCCAGTTATGCTTTTGTAGTAACTGAAAGTTTTTGCCCTTTGGCAAATCATCTTTGGATAAGGATGTGAGGTTTGGATGGTTTGATAGGAACGTTACTTTCTGTTGCTCAAGTGGAGTGGATGGAGGGATAGAGGATGAGGGAGGAGAAGAAGCTTTATCTGATTAGACATCAACCTCTTCAACTTGATCCAGTGCCATTTTCTTTGAATAGTGATGTGACTTTAATGCATGCAATAGCTTGAGTGCCCATTTGTCATGAACCTCTTTGGTTCATTTTTGGTAATCATGTCACTTCGTCACACTTTGAGTTGTGCTTAGTTTCCCTCTCATTTGCATTTAAGTATTTTTTGTTTTGTCCTTTGTAATATATTTTGCTACAGCGAAGACATTTGGTAGTTCCATTGAATTTCTAGAACTGGTGATATTCTCCAATTCAAAACTTCCTATTCATCATGTTTGTAGCTGAACATAAGTTAACACCTTCCTACATTTCTTACTGGTCTTAGTGTAATTGCTTCAAAATTTTAGGTGGCTAATCAAGAAACCTACGGAACCTTGGGTGCTATAGTGAAGAGCCGAACAGGAAACAGACAGGTCGGTTTTCTCACAAATCGACATGTTGCAGTTGATTTGGATTATCCAAACCAGAAAATGTTTCATCCTTTACCTCCCAGCCTTGGGCCTGGGGTTTACTTGGGCGCGGTGGAGAGAGCAACCTCTTTCATCACGGATGAGCTATGGTATGGAATATTTGCTGGAACAAACCCAGGTAATGCAGAACTCGCCTAGATTATTCTTCATTAATAAGTTATATGGATCAGTTTTGTTACTATATCCTGCAATAGGATTCGTGTCACAGAAATAATGACAATTTGTAATAAATGAAAATCGTTCTAGTGAAAATGTAGTGTAATCACTCTTAGTCTGACTATGTATAATCAACTCCCATATCCAAGGTTGGATACTGAAACATCCTGTCAATAGCAAAGGAACGAAAGAACTCAATTCATTAACATGGAAAGTGTCAGATTGAATAAACATAAATGAAGTCTTGAACCGCAGACTAAGTTCATTTGCTTGTTGGATTTGAAAATGAAGGTGTCAAAACCTTTGGATTTATGATGGATTTGTTGCATTATGGATTTGGAAGAGTACATTGTTTGCTTAGTTAATTTTCTATCATGGATTTATGATGAATTTGTCTCACATCTTTGCCTTCCATTATCAAATCCGTGGTGTCCACGGATTTGAATCTAAAAAAAATGGTATAAATCTGTGGACCCCACGGATTTGTGTCCCTGAAGTTATTCACTACCTTTAACTTATTCTCAGTCTTCTTGACTATTCATTCTGTCATGGTATCTGCAGAAACATTTGTGCGGGCGGATGGTGCCTTCATTCCTTTTGCAGAAGATTTCAACATGAACAATGTCACTACATTGGTCAAAGATGTGGGAGAGATTGGTGATGTACATGTAATAGACTTGCAATCTCCGATCAGCAGTCTCATTGGCAGGCAAGTGGTGAAAGTAGGAAGAAGCTCTGGATTGACAACTGGTACAATAATGGCCTATGCTCTGGAGTACAATGATGAGAAAGGGATTTGCTTCTTTACTGATTTCCTTGTCGTCGGGGAGAATGAGCAGCAACCATTTGATCTTGAAGGGGATAGTGGTAGCCTCATTCTCTTAACTGGCGAGAAGCCACGACCAGTTGGAATAATTTGGGGTGGGACTGCTAACCGAGGCAGGTTGAAGTTAAAAGTGGGCCAACCACCAGAGAATTGGACTAGTGGGGTTGATCTTGGCCGCCTACTTGATCTCCTTGAACTTGATCTCATCACAACGGCAGAAGGACTTCAAGGTTTGTACTTTCCCTCCGAATCTTGGAGAAAATGGACACAGAAATAATCTACATCTTGTTTCCTCCTCCAAATGTTACATTACTCATTGGTACTATCATCTAATATAACTTTTCCTTTCTTTCTCTGATAAATACAGCTGCAGTGCGAGATCAAAGAAACGCATCAGCGACAGCAATCGATTCTACTGTTGGAGAGTCGTCACCTCTTACTGTACGAGTTCCATCATCGACCAAAAAAATGGAAGAGTGCTTTGAGCCCTTTAATTTGAACGATATTAGTCAAGTTGAATACGAATTGCACGAGACACCAACACCTCCTTCTATCCGGCACGAGTTCCACATAGATGATGGTGCAGAAGTCACTCCCAGTGTAGAACACCAGTTCATTCCAAGCAGCTTCACAGTGGGTTCTCTGGCCCACGTTGACAACAAGCAGCAGAAGCAACCGAAAGAGGACCACGAACTGAAGAAGGACCTTTCAGCATTATTGCAGAATGGAGCCGGTGAAGAGATGTCTGTGTCATTGCAGTTGGGTGAGCCTGAGCCAAAGAAGAGAAGAAAGCAGCCTGGATCATCTCTCAGCATTAAAGAAGAATCAAAATGAAGCCGCAAGAAAGTGAATATCCAGGTCATGAATGCCAGTTCGTCAATATAGTTCACTTATGCTTGGCTTCAGAGAGGTTGGAAGTTGTAATTATCATGTGGAGTCAGAAGTTGCAGAGACGATCTTTAAAGAGTACTAATCCGGGCGGGCTTCTTTTTGTTTTTCTCTTTTAATTCCAGGTCTTGTTTTTAAAGTTAATGAGTTTTTTAGTCTAAAATGAACAATGTGGGCAGGAAGAATGTTGAGGGGCAGGCTGGCCCTTCATTGAAAGTGCCCTTTGATGTTGTATCTCTTACAAGGAGAAATCGTTAATGTATAATAAAGCACTCCAAGAAAGATAGGAGTTGCAAAATCAAGACTAGTTAAGCTAAGCCACAGTATATATATCACCCCTTGAATGGAATAGGGATTTCTTGTTATATGAAGGAAAGAAATCTTGGAACTGGGGGAATGGAATGCATGTTCTGCCATCAGACTAATGAGGGTAGAGAATAGAGATAATCTATTTGCAGTCTGTTCTTTGAATCGATATCTAGTTGCAGCTTTGTTGAAGAACTGTAATCATAATCCAAGTAGCCACTGAGAATGAGAAATCAATTGAGCAATAAGAACATTCAAAGGCTTGCTCAGATTGGAACTTGGAAGGCTTTATTAGGATTTCTGTGGTCAGTTGGATTTGGCGAGACAGATGTACCTCAATGAATGCAGGGTCTTGTCGTGACTCGTGACTCTGCTGCACTTATTGGACATATACAGGATGAAGTGAGAAAGGTTTAGTTGCAGAAGACAAGTTTGCTCAGTTCTGGGAATAGAATGACAATGTAATCTGATTGCTTCTCTTGGCTCTAGTTTGATGTAGTTGTGAGTTTTTATTGATCTGTTATTTTGTTGGCAGATTAGTATAGTGATTATTGATAGTGATTTCAGTGAACCTCTTGGTTAAATTCCACCATGTGAACTCCTATGTATTTTTATCTGTCAAACCCGTGACATGCGGGCGGGTACAATAGGATTCAATCGGAATTGGCTATCAAATTGGATGGAATGTCCCTACGTACAATTACAGCTCTGATCACTTCGGATTTTTCTAAAGGTGAATTTGGTATTGCTTCTTTGATAACAGCAACCATAACGTCACCAATATGAGCATATCGTCGATTACTAGTCCCTATGATTCGTATGCACATCAATTCTCGGGCTCCACTATTATCTGCTACATTCAAACGGGTTTGCGGTTGAATCATATCATTTTTTAATCTGTTACTAGTCCCTACGACCGACGTGACCGGTTTTCGAGCTCTAAAACTTAATCACCCCGTTTTGAAGAATTTAATTAACAATTTTTTTAAAGTTAATGTCGATTTTATTTGTTGAATTCAAGTACGAATATTTAGGAAGTTAAATGTTATTATTTATAGGATTAAGTACGAACATTTAAAAATTTATGTTATTTGTTGGATTTAAGTAGAAATGTTTGACAATTAGTGTTAAATATTGTACTTAAATATGATTTTTTTATTTTGTCTTATGTGATTCATTGATTGGTTTAGTCATATAAACATATAAACCGCTTAATTGTGTCATAATGACAAGACGTGCATGAGTACGAACTCTTAGTACCAAGTCAAATTGTACTATAAGATGGATTTGCGCTCCAAATATCTTGTAATGTTCATAGATATGTGATTCATTGGTTGGTTTAGGCATATAAACACATAAACCGCTTAATTGTGTCATAAGGACAAAACGTACACGAGTACGAACTCTTAGTAACAAGTCCAAATTGTACAATAAGGTAGATTCGCACTCCAAATGTCTTGTAATGTTGATAGACATGTGATTCATTGATTGTTTTAGTCATATAAACACATAAACCGTTTCATTGTGTAATAATGACAACACATGCACGAGTACGAACTCTTAGTACCGATTTCAATTGTACAATAAGGTGGATTTGCGCTCCAAATGTCTTGTAATGTTCATAGATAAATGATTCATTGGTTGGTTTAGTCATAGAAACACATAAACCGCTTAATTGTGTCATAACGACAAGATGTGCACGAGTATGAACTCTTAGTACCGAGTCCAAATTGTACATTACGGTGGATTTGCACACAAAATGTCTTCTAATGTTCATGTATATGTGATTCATTGGATGATTTAGTCATATAAACACATAAACCGCTTAATTGCGTCATAATGACAAAACATGCCCAAGTAAAAACTCTTAGTATCTAGTCCAAATTGTACAATAAGTTGGATTTGCACTCCCAATCAACAGAAGGGGGTATAGACCAGTAGCTAGGGCTCTTTTCCCCTTTATGTCTTGTAATGTTGATAGATATGCGATTCATTGATTTGTTTAGTCAAATAAATACATAAACCGCTTAATTGTGTCATAATGAAAAGACGTGCTGTGACACCCCACTTTCAGGTTAGGGTTCGATTAAGCTTCGACCGAACTTTTGGATCGACGATTACGTACAAAGAGTTACAACCACATATTAGGGATAATAATAATAATAATAATAATAATAATAATAATAATAATAATTCATTAAAATAAAACCCTAAACCCCACCCCACTGGAGAATCCCTTTTCCCCTAAAAGCCATTGCTTTCCTTCTTCTCATTCCGCCGCTCCTCAAAAGCTCGACGAGGTTGTAAGGAATTACAACAACCTCATCATAACGATCAGCAGTCCCAAACCTGGTCAATGTCAAATCAGCCACAGAGAATTCATCCTCGGGAGGATCTTGGACCGGAAGACTGGAGATGGTGTCGATTATCTCCATGCTTTATTGCCCTAGCACATCAAGCAGACTCCCATGTTCAGCAGTCCAACAGTCTTTCACTTTCAACGACGACCAGGCCTCCAGAATCGACGAGTAAGAAAGCAACCAGGCAAGAAGAGAGCCTGTATGGTGGCGGAGAGAGCAGGGAAGAGTTCCGTTCCAAGTGTCTGTTGATTTGCTTCAGTGACAAGTTAGTTGCCAAAAGAAGGGCAAAGAGCAAAAATTGAAACCGTCCGCCTTGCTAAAATGGTTTCCCCTTCGCCAGGTGCTGCTGCTGCTGGCAACAACGATGACTCGACTTGAGGAGAAAGAAAGGGCAAAAACAGGAATCCTCCTCCGAAAGCTGGAACCCTATCAGTTGTCCTAGTGAACCTGATTGGTAGGAAGAGTCTAGACCCGTTACCCCTCCCGGTCTCACGAAATCGCTTCTCCTCAACCAATACCCAGCTTGATGAGTCGTTGTTTCTGAGAATTGAACTGGGGCAGTGATGATTCGACAATTGCATGGATTTAAATGGCCCAGCCTCTTGCACGTGGTAATTGGGTGGTGCTGGCGCATGTTTTGGCTACATGCCTTTGAGGATGGTACCATTAATTTGCACTCTTAGCCATGGGGTTGGCACCGCTCATGGTTCAGAGGCGATTGCCTTCTTGAATTTCGGAATTTTGTTTGGTTGAGCATGAAAAACTAGATCAGCGGGAGATCATGTTTGACTTGAATGACTGGTTACAATTTTGAGTATGAAACTTATCATTCATGGTTAGATTGGAATGCATTTAGTAGCCGACAGAGGGATCATTTCTTGGATAAATTGTCCACTGGTGGCAATGAATTGGATTAGAGCTCATGTGATGGTGGGGATATGGTGAGCAAGCCCGTAACGAACAAGTGGATGGAATTCGGCAGTAGCTGATTCAATGCAATAAGGTTGAGTACAATGTGAGTGTAAATGGGGTAAATTCTATGCCTTACGTATTCCTTTAAGTATTATGATTTTAAGTATTTTAGCGAATTGGTTAGCGTTGCTTGGTTATGTGTATGATTGATTATTTGTGTCCTTCTTGAGTTATGGTTTGAGTTGATTTTGTTTGAGCTCTGCTTGAAGTGAATGTTTATTAATTACTTTGAAATTCTTACGAGTATAAGTTAATATTAAAGAGTAAGAAACAAGTTCTTTTTAAGAAGTAACTCACCTTCAAGAAGGTGTAGTCGTTTTAAGTGTTTTTAGTCACTAGCGCCAGTCCGTTGCCTTTTGAGAAAGTTTGAGATAGAGCAGCTGTTATGCTCTTGAGACTTTTAAGATGGGCAGCTGTCATGCCCTTGAGAATTGTGGTGAAGAGCCACCACGATAAGTTTAAGATGTTAGGGGGATGAATCGTTACGACTTCCCTAACTAAGTTTAAGTTTAAGGAAAGCCTAGATGGCTTCTCATACGTATGAGTTGGCAACCGGACTAGCAAGTGAGGGATCCCCGTGTCAGTCAAGTATTTAAGTCAAGATTTGAGCTTTAAGAGAGGGAGAGTAACTTCAACTCCCTCAAAGTTTAAGAGTTAAGATTTTAAGATTGGAAGTACAAACAACTTCCACAAGTCAAAGTTAAGTGTTTAAGTAAAGTACTCAAGTATTAGAGTTATTAAAACGTAAGGGCGTAGACTGACCCCATCTCACTCACCAGGACTTAGTAAAGGAATAAGCGAGAACTAGATCGATAGTTGCAGCTAGAGGAGCAGTTTGTGAGCAGCGAGATCGAGAAAGCTGTTCGAGGCAAGCCAGCTAGAGGAGGATAGTATAAGCGTCACTGGAGGCGCCAGAGATCGAATCCGAGCAGACAACAAAGTAGAGTTATAGTTATTGATTTACGATTATGAGTAGTGACTGGAGATTCAGATAAAGATTCTATGGTTGAGGTTTGCCCAAGTGTCAGGGCTTTGTTTTCAAAGATTTCAGTTCACTTCAGTATATGTTATGGTTATTTATGGAAAGCTTCCTTTTTTTCAAGTCTTTCGTTTCTTATTTTGGTTTATGAGTCATCAAGGGCATTTTGGTAAAATTAGTACCCGGCCGGGTTAGGGTGTTTCACGTGCAAGAGTACGTACTCTTAGTACCGAGTCCAAAACAAAAAATAAGGTGGATTTGTTTTGCAAATGTCATGTAATGTTGATGGACATGTGATTCAATGATTAGTTTAGTCATATTAACACATAAACCGCTTTATTGTGTCATAATGACAACAAGTGCATGAGTACGAAGTCTAAGTACCGAGTCCAAATTATACAATAGGGTGGATTTGCGCTCCAAATATCTTGTAATGTTCATGGATATGTGTATTATTGGCTGGTTTAGTCATATAAACACATAAACCTCTTAATTGTTTCATAATGACAAAACGTACACGAGTACGAATTCTTAGTACCGAATTCAATTTGTAAAATACGGTGGATTTGCGCTCCTTATGTCTTGTAATGTTCCTGTATATATGATTCATTGGTTTGTTTAGTCATATAAACATATAAACCGCTTAATTGTGTCATAATGACAAGACGTGCAAGAATACGTACTCTTAGTACCTAGTCTAAAACATAAAATAAGGTGGATTTATTCTTCAAATGTCTTGTAGTAACGATAGACATGTGATTCAATGATTGATTTAGTCATATAAACACATAAACCGCTTAATTGTGTCATAATGATAAAACGTACACGAGTACGAAGTCTTAGTACTGAGTCTTGATCGTACAATAATTTGGATTCGTACTCCAAATGTCTTGTAAAGTTAATAGACATGTGATTTATTGATTGTTTTAGTCATATAAACACATAAACCACTTAATTGTGTCATAATGACAAAACGAACACGAGAACAAAATCTTAGTCTCGAGTCCAAATTCTACAATATGGTGGATTTGTACGCCAAATGTCTTGTAAAGTTGATAGACATGTGATTCATTGATTGGTTTAGTCATATAAACACACAAACCGTTTAATTGTGTAATAATGACATCACATGCACGAGTACTAACTCTTAGTACCGATTCCAAATTGCACAATAAGCTGGATCACACTCCAAATGTCTTGTAATGTTGATGGACATGTGATTCCTCGATTGTTTTAGTCATATTAACACATAAACCGCTTAATTGTGTAATCATGACAACACATGCACAAGAACGAACTCTTAGTACCGAGTGCAAATTGTACAATAAGGTGGATTTGCACTCCAAATTTCTTGTAATGTTTATGGATATGTGATTCATTAGTTGGTGTAGTCATATAAACACATAAACCGCTTAATTGTGTCATAATGACATGACGTGCACGAGTACGAACTCTTAGTACAGAGTCCAAATTGTACAATCAGGTGGATTCACACTCCAAATGTCTTGAAATGTTCATGGATATGTGATTCATTAGTTGGTTTATTCTTATAAACATATAAACCGCTTAATTGTGTTATAATGACAACAAGTGCACAAGAACTTTTAGTACCGAGTCCGAATTGTACAATAAGGTGGATTCGCACTCCCAATGTCTTGTAATGTTGATAGACATGTGATTCATTGATTGGTTTAGTCATATAAACACATAAACCACCTAATTGTGTCATAATGACAAGATGTGCAAGAGTAATTACTCTTAGTACTGAGTCCAAAACATACAATAAGGTGATATTTTTCTCCAAATGTCATGTAATGTTGATGGACAGGAAGTGCACGAGTACAACAAGTGCAAATATCTTGTAATGTTCATGGATATGTGATTTATTGACTGGTTTAGTCATATAAACACATAAACCATTTATATTTTGTCATAATGACAAGACGTGCATGAGAACGAACTTTTAGTACTAATTCCAAATTGTACAATAAGGTGGATTTGCACTCCAAATGTCTTGTAACGTTGATAGACATGTGATTCACTTATTGGTTTAGTCATATAAACACATAAACCGTTTAATTGTGTCATAATGACAAGACGTGCACGAGTATTAACTCTTATTACCGAGTCCAAATTGTACAATATGGTGGATTTTCACTCCAAATGTCTTGTAATGTTCATGTATATGTGATTCATTGGTTTGCTTAGTCATATAAATACATAAACCGTTTATTTTTTGTCATAATGACAGGGCGTGCACGAGAACAAACTCTTAGTACTAAGTCCAAATTGTACAATATGATGGATTTGCGCTCCAAATGTTTTGTAATGTTCATGGATATGTGATTCATTGGTTGCTTTAGTCATATAAACACATAAATAACATAACTGTGTCATAATGACAACACGTGCACGAGTACGACCTCTTAGTACCGAGTCCAAAATGTACAATAAGGTGGATTTGCACTTCAAATGTCATGTAACGTTGATAGACATGTGATTCACTGATTAGTTTAGTCATATACATAAACCGCTTAATTGTGTCATAATGACAACAAGTGCACGAGTACGAACACTTAGTACTGAGTCCAAATTGTACAATGATGCGACCCCGCTCACCCCGCTTGACGTCACTCGAGCTCAAACTAGATATCTACATGGACCATGGTTCAAGAGACGATTTAAGAGGTTTAAAGAGAGCTTGGAAGCATTCAAGGTGGAAGAAAAGGTATTTGCAAGCAAGGCCTACGAGTTTGTTGATGTGAAATCAATTGGCAGAATATATAATTCTCGTGGTCCAAAGATGAAGGTCCGAGTACGACGATACAAGGATCAAATGGGATCATTCTTGATGGACGTGGACTTGCTAGAAGGAAAGTCCATCACATTGCTACGATTTATGGACTAGAATGAAGAGAAGATGAGTTTGGTAGAAGGAAGATCTCCCATGGTGTGAACACAAGGTGTGAAAGGAATACAAGTGTGAAAGGAATATCATGTGTGAACACAAGCCATGTGAGGGAGGATTGCAATGCTAAAATCTAGGGAGTTGTTGACCAAGTCTTTTCCTTGTCTTTTGAGGACTGTGTTCACTTTTCCTTTAAGTTTTTGTTTTCCTTTTAATTTTAGGATTTGGTCATTTGTTTGATTTCTTTCTTAGTTTAGGATTGGATTTTCGTTTCCTATATAAGGAGGATGAGTCCCTCATTGTAATTCATTCTATTATCAATCAATTTTCAAGTTTCAAGTTCAAACGAACTGGTTCTTTGTGCAAACTTCTGTCGAGAGTGCACCAGAGGTTTCACGTGTCTCTTATCAACTAGAGAACGCGTCTAGTTGTGGCGAGCTTCTACCCTATATAAATTGCCCCTTTCCACGAGTTGGTGCTTTCCGATTGGTTTCATATACCAATTGCCCTTAATCACGGTTGGGATTGTCCGATTGATTCCGCTTCTAGCTTTATTTTTCGAGTTCAAGAAAGGCAACATCAGAAAATCATAAAAAGATCATTGAAGCTGCGTACTTTGATCACATCATACAATTAGGTGGATTTGTGCTCCAAATATCTTTTAATGTTTATGGATATGTGATTCATTAGTTGGTTTAGTCATATAACAAATAAACCGCTTAATTGTGTCATAATGACAAAACGTACAAGAGTACGAAATCTTAGTACCGAGTCTTAATCATACAATCAGTTGGATTCGAACTCCAAATGTCTTGTAACATTATTAGACATGTGATTTATTGATTGTTTTAGT